TTCCGCCATTTGGTTTTTATTTTTGACATAAGGCAAAGATAGGGTTGAGTGCGAGAGTGTATAATTTATTAAAACGAGTTTTTTTTTTTGTGGAATTGTGTTTATTGTTTAAATTTTAGAGTAGTATTACTTTAGTAATTTAAAATAAAAAAATAACTTTTTCAAATATGGTAAACATACCATATTTTTATAAAATTTTTTTGAAAAAAAAAAATGAAAACACACACACCCACTGCACCCGGATAAAATCACACACAAGCCCATTGTTTTAAGGATCCTCTTAAAAAAAAAGAGTAGTTTTTTTTTCAATTTTTTAAAAAAAAAGTATTTGTAAATCAATTTTTAAAATTACTAGGATTTGTTTTTTTATAAAATTATAATATTGATAATTTTTAATGTTTTATTATTTTATTGATAAAATTTTTTTATAGTAAAATGGCTTTATAATCAATTTTGCACACTACATATATACATACGTATTTACAAAGGTCCACAATGAATCACCCCTTTTTTTATTTTTTTTTTTTATAAAGAAAATCAAAAAGCAATAAAAAAATAATTTAGGATATGTATGTTGATGATGTTGATGATGATGATTAGATTCCACCCTCATAAACTAAAATTTCTTTTAAAATTTGAATATATCTTTTTTTTTTTAACACTTGTTTAAAACTATAGATTTAAAATAAAAAAAAGATAAAAAGTTAAGTTTTATTTTTTATTTAGTTTATTAATTATATTATTATTATTTGAAATATATATTTGCCTTTCTTTAACTGGTCAAATAGTTAATGAGCACAAGGTATTGATCCTAATTTTAAAATTCCATTCCATTATAACCACAACCTTTGAATCTTTTTAAACTAATAAATTCCTTTCAAAGAATGTTTTGAATAATGATTAATTACATATATTATAAATATTAAATAAAAGATTAATACTACATCACATTGATTATGTTATTTTTTTTTTTTGAAGTAGGTAGTTTAGATATTAAACCACAGGTTGAAAGTTTATTTTTTATTTAATTTTTGTTTTTTTTTTAAAAATTTAGAAAAATTTTGTTGTTGCCATTTTTTATAATAAAAAACGAATAAATCAAATAATAAAGTAATAAATATAGTAACTTAGTTGTATATAGCGGTTATTTTATAAATACACACTGTACATTGTTATGAAATATATATATATATAAGATTTAGTTCCACACACAATTTAAATTATAAAAGAAGATAACAAAACCCTCTTAAAAGTAGGTTTTATATATATAGATACATTTTACATAAAATAATAAAATGGAGTTAATTAAAAAAAAAAAAAATTTTAAAAAAAATTTTAAAAAAAATATTATTTATTTAATATTTATATTTTTATTTAATATAACTATATATAAGTACTATTACTACTACTTAATTACCTCTACCACACACACATAAATAAAAAAATTAAAAAAATATATATAAAAAATTAAAGAAAATTTAATTTTATTTTATTTATAATATTAAAAATTTAATTTTAATTTTTTTTTTTTTTTTTTTTTTTTTTTTTTTTTTGATATTAAAATTTCAAAAAAAAATTTCAGTATTTTTTTAAAAAACTAAATTTAAACCTTCTTTCTTTATAATTTCTTATATATATATGTTTATAATATATAATATAATATTATGATATCGCAAAGAATAAAAAAAAAACAATAATAACCTTCAAATAATAGAAACCATAAATCATAAATAATTTTAGCTAATAATTATTCTTTTTTTATTTTTTCCTCAAAAACAAACATTTAGTACATATTCATATAGCTTATAGAATCTAGATTTTTGTAAATAAGAAATAACCACATACATATAATAAACAATAATAACCTTTAATCAATAAACTTTATATTAATTACTTTTTATTTAATTTATAGAATCATAACATTTTTCAAATAGTTTATTATATATTATTTTTATTAATAAATATAATATAGTAGTATTTTGTGTATATATAATATCTTTTTTATATAAACTCTTTATTTATTTATTTGTATATTCATTTTTTTTTTATCTATTCAACAACGTCCAAAAAACGACTAATATATATTTAGTTGTATGGAAAAGACAGATAGAAAACGTAAAACAACTTCTATTCATAACCTATTAGATAATAATAATAATAATAATAACAATAATAATAATTCCAGCGATATAGAAAACAGTGTAAATAGTGAACAAAGCGAAAGTAGTAAAAGATTAAAACAACACTCTAGTGTGGGTAATTCAACACCTACTACTATAATTAGAACTCGATCTCAAGTAGCAGCTCAACAACAACAACAACAGCAACAACCACAACAAAAAACCTTAAAGAAACAAAAGTAAGTTTTCATATATTCATTTTACATATCAAAGTAGATAAAAAAAAAAAAAAAAAGGTTTTATTTTATCATAATTTATCGTTATTTTTATTTATTATTTTTTTTATTTTTTTTTATTTTTTTATTATTTTTGATCTTTATAATTTTGTAATAAAATTGTTTATTTTTTTTTTTTTTTTTAATTTTATTTTTTTTTTTAATTTTTTTTTTTAATTTTTCAATTTTTAAATTGTTTTTTTTTTATATTAATTTTATAATAATTAAATACACAAATAAAATTTTTTTTATTTATATAAATACATCAGAGATAAAATTATCAGATGTATAATTAAATTTTAAAAAGTTTAAAAGAGTTTTTTTTTATCCATATTCTTAAAATTTCTATATTTTTTCTCCTTTTATTTATTTGTGTTTAAAATTTGTTATATTTTTATAATAAGAAAAAAAAAAAAAGAAAAAAATTTTAACATATTATTTTTTGGTTTTAAAGAACCACAGCTTCATCTCAATCATTACCAACATCACCTTTACCAAGTTCTTTAGAATCATCACCATTTAAACCATTTAGTTTAAGAAGAAAAAGTTCACCATTACCAACCACACTCACAAATAGTAATAGTAATAATAATAATACATCGACAACAAAGCAACCAACAGTACCATTAACAAGAAGAATGTCAAGCCAACAAAAATTAAATAGTGGTAATAGTGAGGAATCAAGTAATAATGTAGATAGCTCGACCAACAATACTACCACAAATACAAACTCATCACAACCATCAACTACCAACACAACATCGGCTACTACAACAACAACAAATGAAACACCATCACCAACTTCATCATCATCATCAAACGATAATAGTTTTGAAACTACTCGTCAATCACTTCAAGGATTGATGAGAAACCTCTCAGGAGCATTATTGGATGAATTACAAACACCATTAAGAGGTGGTAATCCAGCAGCAGTAGGCTTACTCAACACATTAATTGAGGGTAGAAATAGATCAAAATTACTCTTACAAGGTTTAAAATCAGATGACGAAAATAAGCAAATGGAAAGTCTTTTAGAGGTTTGTGACCTTTTATCAATTGCAACCGAAGAAACTATTGCAGGTTTCCCAAGTGATTCATTTGCACCAGCATTAATAAATCTTTTAAATATGGACCATAACCCAGATATGATGTTGTTAGCTGGAAGAGCACTTTCAAATATGATCGAAGCTTTACCAAGTAGTATTTCGTCTGTTGTCAACCACGGTGCCGTTAGTATCTTATGTTCAAAATTATTATCGATCGAATATATTGATCTTGCCGAACAATGTCTTCAAACCCTTGAAAAAATTTCACAAGAACAACCTACTGTAGTTTTACGTGCTGGTGGTTTAATGGCAACTCTTTCTTTTATCGATTTCTTTTCTACTGGTGTTCAAAGGATGGCAATTACTACTGCATCAAATATATGTAGACAAGTACCAAAGGATTGTTTTGACATGGTTAGAGAACCAATTCAAATTTTAACAAATTTATTACAGTATCAAGATCAAAAAGGTAAGTTAATTAATTTTAAATTGAATAGCTTATTTAAATTTATTTTAGAATTACAATATTAATATTTTATAATTTTTAAAATTTTAGTTGTCGAGCTATCATGTTTATGTTTTTCAAGATTAATAGAAAGTTTTTATGATTCTCCACAAAAATTAGAAATTATTGCATCACATGGATTAATATCAAATCTTGTTAGGATTATATCTGGAATGTATAATAGCACCACATCATTAAGTCCAAATACCTATTCTCAAATCATTCGTATTATGGCTACCGTTTGTCATGGTTGTCCAAATATTACTCAAACTTTATTAGAAGAAGGTATTATAAGTATTATCCAATCAATAATGTATCCATCAAATGATAATGCCAATGGCAGCAATTCAAATGTAAATAGAAATAGTCAACAATGTTATGAAGTACTTTCACTTATCAATGAGTTGTTACCACCATTACCACAAGAGTTTGCAAATCTTTTAACCCCAAACCGTTCAATTCCAAATTCTTTACGTACTTCATCATTATCATCAAGAAGAAAAGAACCAGCTTCACTAGAAGGATCATCATCATCATCAACAACAACCACTACAACCACTACAACTACCTCCACATCAACAGAACCAACCGAGGACCCAAGAATAGCAATTTATAAAGAAAGCCCAGAATTATTAAAAACTTTAGGTGAAGATTTATTTGTAGTTTTAGTTGAAATGTTTACATCAAATGTCAACACATCAGTTCGTTATAAAAGTTTAGGTTGTATTTGTAAAGTGCTTTATTATTCATCATCCGAACAAATCAAAGATCTCTTAAAAGAATTTGCATTCTCTAGCTTTTTAGCAAGTCTTTTAGGTAGTCGTGATATGATTATTGTCGCCACTGCCATTAAAATAGTAGAACTCATGATGGAAAGATTACCAGTTATTTTTGATCGTTATTTTAAACGTGAAGGTGTAGTATATGAAGTTGACAGATTATCAAAATTAGAACAACCCTCAGTAGTCGAGGTTGAAAAAACTGATGAATCCTCTTCAAATAACATGGAAACCGATGAAATTAATGAACAACAATCAAATATTAAAACTCCAACAAAATCAGTACCAATACCTTCTATTCCTACAACAACTCATCCAATTTCGATTGCATCAAGAACGAGCCAGCCACCACCCCTAGCAAGCTCACCATTTTCCAATAATCCATTTTTTGTTGGTTCACCATTACCAAATACTCCAACCAACAGTTTATTAAGTGGCTCTCAGCCACCACAAATTCCATCATCATTATCAACATCAAGCTCATTACCATCAACTCCATCATCAGCCTCAACTGCCACATCAACCACCACTACAATTATTCCAACTACACAAGAGGAACTTAAATCATTTGTTTGTAAAGAAGCCAAAAAGCTTAAAGATACATATTTCCCTAAATTACAAACTATGATGGGCGCAACTAATGAAAATTTTTCAACTAAAGAATTATCAATTTTAAAGAACTTAAGTCAGAAATTAAATAAATGTGAAAAAGAAGAAGGTGTTGAAATTTTAGAAGAAATTAAGAGTCTTTTGATTGACACTGAAGGTATCTCTGCATTCGAGTTTTTACACAGTGATTTAGTTGGTAGTATACTTAATTATCTTACTCGTGGTAATATCAAAAAGCATGCTGAATGTTTTGCTAAAGTATTTTTAGTTCCTTACCAAAAGAGTGGTGCTTCTTCTATGACTCCATTGAAAACTTCCTCACCAAATCCACTTTTGCTCTCTTTATTAATCGAAAAGCTTCATGATGCTTTAAATAAAGTCGAACGTTTCAATATCAACATTAGTGATGTCTCTGGAACAAGTTCTGGTCTCAAATATTTAACCCAACCATTTAAATTAAAACTCCAAAAAGAAGGTACCGACCCAAACTTAAAAGATTATTCTGGTAATATTGTTTTAATAGAACCTTTAGCAAATATAACTGCAATCGAGGAATTTTTAAATTCAAAAGTTATTGTTACACCAAATTTAGCCAGTGCTGTTCCAGCCTCATTATCTTGCACAACAACAACTGTAGGATTAACAACAACTACATCAAATACTAATAAAGATGGAACAACAGAAAAACCAGTTGAAAAAGAGAAAGATAGCATTATGGATGAAGATGACGAAGATGAAGAAGAGTACAATGATGACTATGACGAGGATGAGTTATTAAACAATGAACCAAACGAACAGGATGGTGAATCTGTACATGATGTTAAGGTAAATGATATTAGTCTTTCTAGTTCAAATCAAGGCGAGTTAAATAAATCCTCAACAACCACTACTCCAAGTTCAAATACTACCACTGCTGCTTCTACAACAACCACTACCACTACAACTAGTACACCACCAACTGCAAACACATCACCAACTGCATCAACATCAACTACAGCAACAGGCTCCACAACAAAAACCCCATCAAAATTGGGTATTTTTGTTGATGGTCAAAGACTCACCAACTCAATTACAATTTTCCAAGCTGTTCAAAGAATTGCACGTGTCCAACAAATAGCAACACTTAATAGTAATAATAACAACAATAATAACAATGATTATGAAAGTAGTTTAAATGTTCAAACCAATAGATTGTGGGACTCAACACATGTATTAAAATATAGATATTTAACCCAAGAAGAAATTGATTCACCAAATTCCCCAACTGGTTCCAACAATAATACCAAGCCACCAATTAGAGAATTAGGTTCATCAAAATTAATCGACTTTTTAACTGACGACCATTCATTCCAATTAACTAGCAACGATACAGCAACCTATGAAATTTTATCATTATTAAGATGCCTCTATATGTTTAATTTAGACCCAGCCAGCGTAAATGCAGGATCAATTTTATCAAATTCATCAATGATTCTCTCATCAGCATCACTCTTCACCAGTGAAAGATCATTACTCAATGCATCAGAATTTATTTCACAAAAACTAACTGCTAAAATTATGAGACAACTTCAAGATCCATTGGCACTTTGTGGTGGTGTTTTCCCAGATTGGTGTAAACAATTATTAAATAGCTGTTCATTCCTTTTCCCATTTGACTGCAAGAGATTATTCTTTTATTCAACCTCATTTGGAATAGCCAGAGCTCTTTCCACCCTTCAACAAAGACAAGATCTCATTAGACAAACAAATGGTAGTGCAGTATCGAGCAATAATGACAGAGGTGGAGATTTCCGTGTTGGTAGAATCCAAAGACAAAAAGTTCGTATATATAGAAATAAAATTTTAGAATCTGCAATCAAAGTTATGGATCTATATGGTAAATCTAAATCAATGTTGGAAGTTGAATATTTCGGTGAAGCTGGTACAGGTTTAGGTCCAACTCTTGAATTCTTTACATTAGTTTCAAAAGAAATTCAAAGAAAAGATTTAAATCTATGGTATACAGATAATACTACAACCACAACTACAACAATAATTTCAGAACCTGAAAAAATGGAAATTGATTCATTATCATCACCATCATCATCAAAAACACCAACTACACCAACAACAACAGAAATTATTCATGAATATATTTATTGTCCAGGAGGATTATTCCCAAGACCAATTAATCCATCAACTACAATAGATAAAAAACTATTAGATTATTTTAAATTTTTAGGTTCATTTATTGCAAAAACATTCTTTGACCAAAGATTAATTGACCTTCCATTATCAAAACCATTTTATAAATATATGATCGAACAAGAATTAGAGTTTGAAGATCTTCGTCAACTATCACCAGCCTATGCCTCATCATTAAATAATTTATATAGTTTAGTATTACGTATTAAAGAAATTAAATCCAAATCAGATCTCAGTGATACTCAAAAGAAAGAAGAAATTGATCAACTCAGAATCGAAGGTGCAAAAATTGAAGATTTGTGTCTTGATTTTACTTTACCAGGTTTCCAAGGTTGGGAATTGAAAGAAGGAGGTGAAAATATACCAGTCACATTAGAAAATCTTGAAGAATACTTAAATTTAATCGTCAAAAACTTTTTATACGATGGTGTTATCAGACAATTCAATTCTTTTAAAGAAGGTTTCAATCAAACATTCTCAATTTCAAGTTTAAAACCATTCACCATTGCAGAAGTCGAGTCACTTTTATGTGGTTCATTAACAGGTAGTGATAGTGATTGGAGTATTGAATCACTCATGGAAAGCACCAAAGCTGATCACGGCTACACTCTTCAAAGCAAATCAGTTCAAAATATTTTCCAAATTATGTCAGAATTCACTCCGGAACAAAGAAAACAATTCTTATTATTTATTTCCGGTAGTCCACACCTTCCATTACAAGGCTTTAAAGGTTTAATTCCACGTCTCACTATAGTAAAGAAACACCATTTCCCACCTTTAACTCCTGATGATTATCTTTTGAGTGTTATGTCTTGCACAAATTATATCAAATTACCAGATTATTCAAACAAAGAAGTAATGAAAGAAAAACTCTTATATGCCATGAATGAAGGTCAATCTTCTTTCCATCTTTCTTAAAAAAAAAAACATAATAATAAAAATTAATTTATATTATGTATTTATAACTTTTTAATATTTTTCAAAATTTTTCATTTCTATTTTTTATTTTATATTTTATTTGTGTATTTCGTGTAGTAAATAATGGTTATTCAAAAAGACTCATTTAAAGATCTGTCCTTTGCTTCTAAAAGATCAAAGAATCTCCAAAAATAAAATAAAGACTGTCTGTAATTTATAAGATAAAAAAAAAAGACTTTTATTTTTTTTATTAAAATATGTTACAAATACATTAGAGAATGTATTAATCCTTGTATTATTTCGTTGTTTGAAATCCATTTCATGCAACTTGAAAGGTTATTGGTTGTCATTTCCCTACTAAGCAGACTGAGGATTCATCACAGATATAGACCCAAAGGTAGATTCGACACAGACCATTTGCACCTCCTTAGACCAAATAAAAACCAGTGGAAAATAAAGCATTTTTATTTGTTTACAGCTTGAATCTAAGTAAGGCTTTAGTTTTATTTTTTTAGGTTTAGGTAATCTTTAAAAAAGAAAACTTTTCTTTGCCCTTTTAAAGCTAAAAGAGATACCAAGAATGAATGAGCATAGCTAAACTAACAAATGAATCCTATTAGCTTAGCTATAATCACTCGAGGTATTATCTTTTTTTTTATAAAAAAGGGACAAAAGCTGTGAATGATCATAGCTAAATTAACAAGTTAATTATTAACTTAGCTATAATCACTCTTTTTTTAACACTTTAAATATCATCAACACAGATAAAAAGTGTATTACTTTTAATAATAAATATAATTTATTTGTTTACATTTTTTTATAAATTTAAAAAAAAAAAAAAAAAAAAAAAAAAAAAAAAGTTTTATAAAAAATCCCTGGTGAAAAAAAAAATTTAATGAAACTTTTTTAAAAAAAAAGTTTTAAAAAAATGGTTTGTTATTATTATTTAAAAAAAAAATAAATATGTATTCTCTTTCATTTTATTTTTTTTATTTTTGTATTTTATTGGGTAATTTATAAATTTGTATTTACTATATCAGCACCAGGAGCTTTAGTTGAAGTCTTATTATCAGTTTGGATTGGTTTTTGTTTTTGTTGTTGGGATTGTTGTTGTTGGGATTGTTGTGGTTGATTTGGTTGTGATAATTCAATTGGTTCATTTTTTAATTTTGAATGGGCTTCTTGTTGTATACCTTTTTTATGGTTAAGATATCTTAAAGCATGATATTTAAAAACACTTGGATATGGACTAAAATTTCTGTGGAGCGCTAAAATGGCTTCATCTTTTTCTAATAGTAAATCGATTAATGCATTTTCTTGAGTTTCTGTTAAACGAATTGATTCATCTGCTATACCACCTTTACCTAATTTTGAAACGTATTGAATTGCTTGATCTAATTTAATATGATCTTTATCTTTAATATCTAATGTTACACCACGTTTTGGTATTGGTTCGAATCTACTCCAAAAAATAACACCACCATCTGGTACCATCTTTAAATCTTTATTTTTTAAACATGGTTCTGTAAAATGAGGTGGAGTCCATCGCGATAAGTATTTAACATCATCAAAATCCAATTCTACACCTGGAAATAATGCCGGTTGATGTTTAATAATTTCGTTCTTTAATCTATTTATATTATTGGTCCTAATTACTATAGATACCATTTCACCATCAGGAAATTCTATTGTCCTTACTAGTTTTCCGAATATATACGTTTTAATACCATGAAACACAATAGATGCACCCTAATAAATAAAAATATATTAATATATAAATATACCATAAATTATATTAATATCAATAATATCATACACCCATATATCTCCAACTACCTTCGATAACTGGAAAACTTTTAGCTACAAATGCACCTAATGCAAAAAACACCCAACTACCCGTCATATCTTTATTTTTTTTATTTAAATAATATTGGTATTACTTCTAAATTTACGTATTTCTAATTAATTAGTGATTTGAGTATGTGCACTATTATTTAAACAACACCATATGTATATTTACAAACCACAATGTAATTAAAAACTATGAAAAATGAAACAAATAACTTGGTTTTGTAAATTAATTAAAAAAATAAAAAAAATTTTTTAAAATATTTTAAATAAAAAAAAATTAATTTTAAAAAATTAAAAATAATTATTTTTTTTGAATTTACACATAATAATTATTATTTTAATGATCAATAATCCTTTTTTAGATAATATATTAAAAAAAAAAAAAAAAAAATAGTAAATAGTTATTGTTATGATAAAAGTTTTTTTTTTATTTAAATATTATTTTTGAAACTGGAAAGATTTTATTTTTATTTTTAGAATGCTTCTTCGGGATCATTGTATAATGGATTAACAGAAGAGTTTGCACTTTGTTCATAAAGTGGGTTACTTGCAACAGCACCTTCCATGAATGGTGCATCTCCAAAGAATGCATCAGTTGGTGGAGCTGATCTTCTTAATACTTGCCAAATGGCAGCAGCAATAATAGCTGCACCACCTGCTGAAGCTGCGATAGCTGCTGTTAAAACGGTTTTGTTATCTTTATCATCTGATCCACCTGGAGAAATTGAAATTTCATAATAAGCGGTGGCATTTAAATGATTTTGATCTCTAATTTTTTCTGGAGCATTATAACCTAAATCGTCAACAAAGAGCTTAATACGATAAACACCTTGTTTCTTTGGATTGATGTTGATACTGCTGAGAGAGCTTTCTAAAAGTTTTTGTGTATTTGTACAGGTAACTGAGGCAACTGATGTGCTGAAAACACATGAAGTGTTGTAGTCTAAAGAGAACTCCATATCATCGATACTGACTGGTTCATCACTATCTTTTCCAACAATTGAAAGAACGATTTGGTTAGTACCAACAGTTTTTGAATCTGGATCTACATATGATAAACCATAAATTCTCATTGGATTACGAGTTGAACCGGTAGTGTTGAATTTGGATTCATCAGTAGTAATATATGGACCAACATTATTTACATATACATTAATGTTAACTCTTGAAGTTGCAACAGCGGCGAATGGATCTCTAACTGAAATTGGAATGTTTGTATATTTATTGACAGTTGTGTTGAGATTTGGATTATGTGTATAATGAATATACCAATATCCATCAGAGCTAATATCATTAATTGGTGAGGTACTAAAGTTAATTTCTTCACCAAGAGATTCGGTTTCTTTGTTGTAATTGTGAACAATACCACGAGTAATTGGACCTGAAATGAAAGATTGTAATTCTTTTTTTGGATTGTCAATATCTGAAGCATCATACTTAATAATAACACTGGTATTTAAAAGCATAAAGACATCTAAAGAGGAGCCAAATAATGTTTCGACACCGTCAACTGTATATGAAATTAATTCAATAACTGGAGCTTGATTGACTGGGGTAACATTAATAATAATTGTATAACTTGAAGAGTATATCTGTTCATTGGCACCATAGACATCGTAAAGTCTAAATTTAATTGTAGCATAGTTGTCACCATTTTCATAAATAACTGGAACAAACATAAAGTTGTATTTGTTGTTATCAGAGTCTCTATAAATAGTTTTTGGTGAGGATTGATCATGGGCAATACAACCTTCACTACCCATGCAAACAACGTCATAAAGGGTACCATTTGATTTGATTTCTTGGAGTTCTAAGTAAACATTCTTACCACCACCACCTACAACACCATCAATAGTAAATGAAAGATTTTCATTTTCTTTAGTTGAAAGAATTGAAATACCATTGTATGTTGGTGGATTTCTTGGTTCAATTAAGAAGTAAGAGATACTTGGAGCGGATGTAAGATCACCATCAGTAATTGAAAAAGTGAATTGATCAGATGGACCAACATTACCTGGCATATCCCAATCAGAAATACCTTTGTTTGGTGTATATGTTAAATCTGAAAGACCATATGGTGTTTTTTGGGAAATTACAACATCTTTGCCATCTTTATCTAATAATTTGCCTTTGAGTGGAAGAATATTAATATAAGCTTGAAGTGAATTTGGGGTTTCAATATCGTTTCCAATTATTGTAAATGAGAATTTTTCTTGATTTTGTACTAATTGGTATCTCGATGATTGGGCATTTGGTGCAGTATTTATATATTGGAAAATGATTGATCCGGTGGCTTCTGGGGAAATACCTGGGACTGGGACAAAATTATCACTACAAATAGCTTTGAAAGAATCTGTGAAACCTTGATAGGTCTTTCCATCAGATTTAAAGTAATACTTATTATCAGAAAGAAGAGCTGTTGGAACTTTAGTTATTTGTTCACCATTTGATTTGAAAATTAAAGCACTTTTTGGAAGTGCAGTGATTGTGCATGTAAATACTGGATTATCATTATCAACATCGGTTGGTGAGAGAGTTAATACTACTGGTTGTTCATCTGAAGATTTAAATGTGTGTGGTTGAATAGTAAGTGCAGGTGGATGATTTACGTGAACAACGGTAATTGTGGTAGATAATACTTTTGATTCAGCACCTAAAGTATCTTGAACTGCATAGCTGAAAGAATCAGATCCATGATATAATAAATTTGGTTGATACATAAGTTTGTATGGGGCTTTTCCTGATACTGAAGCTTGGTTATTTTTGGTTATAACAAGTTTACCAAAGAGTGGTTGGGTTTTAATAATACCAATAAGATTACCTTGATCCAACTCATCAACATCAGTACCATCAATTGCGAATTGAGTAGAAATGCCATCTTCATTAACTGAAAAATTTGGAATTTGAATAGCGACTGGAGCAACATTATCACGGGATCCAACAACATTTATAGTAATGGTAAATGGTGCACTTGTTTTTGGTTCTACCTTGTCATCGTCAGTTGCGGTAAATGTAACCGAGTCAGAAGAAGTATTTTCTAATGGGGCATGATAACAAAGGTTTGAATAGTTGGCTTTTGAACTTTGATCCAAGGTAATTAAAGCAGTAGTAAGACTAGTGATTGGGTTTTTGTTTTCATCATCACAAGCATAGAAGAAACTATCTGTTGATGTTGAAAAACGGGTAACTGTAAATTTAACTGCTGTTGAGTCAGTGTCGATAGCTAATAAATCAATACGAAGGTTACCATTTTGATTAATAGCAGCAGTTGATGGAGAAATAATGGTTGGGGCAACATTAGAGTGTTGGAGATTGAATGAAAGTGCGCATTGAGCTTCTAAACCACCTTTATCTCTGAGCTTATAATTGATTTGGTATGTGGTTAATTTATCTGGGTTGTATGATTGAGTAAAAGTGAATGAACCAACATAATCAGTGGATGGTGTTGAACTTGTGAGTTGATATTGATTATTAACTACAACATTGGCAGAGTTTGATTTAATTGTTCCTCTGCCTGAAATTGGGGATAAATCAGAAAAAACAACATAGAGTAATTCGTTAGCATCAATATCACTACCTTTGAGTTGGAATGAAATTTCAGAATTTAATTTTGAAGTAACAGAAATTGGAGTTGTTGGGCAGGTTGGTGCTTGATTAACATGTTCAACTGTTATTTTAGCAGTTCCTGAAGCAGAGTCACAACCATCAGATACTGAAAAAGAAAAATCAACTGAATTTTGATTGAAATAGTTGGTAGTTGGAACGAAAACAAAAATTGTTTTAGCAATTTCATATGCTTGATTAACAACTGCATTTGAACCAGTAGATGAACCAATTTTAATTGTACCTGTGGCTGAGCTTGGGAGAGTGGAAATAAGAACATTTAATTTATTGCCATCAATATCATTAGCTGGGAATGTAAATGTAATTGGGGTATTTTGTTTTGCATTAATGTATAAAGTGGATGTAGTTGGTGGATGATTATAATTGACAATAACTCTTGAAGTACCAAAACCAATAACAGATACTGTTGCCTCTGGATAGAGATTTGAAACTGCAGTTGTTGGATACTTCATTGAAACTGGAAGTGAAGCCATTGTATCTTGTTTTTTAGCAATATTGGTATTTACACTAGCTGTTGGTAAGGTGATGAACTTATCTGGATCTGATACGACTTTAAGGACAGCTTTAGATAAAACTGTAGAGATACCATTAAAAGCTTTATTTACCCAATCAACACTTGATGCGGTTGGGATGCTTGAGCTTTCTGCATAACCATAACCTTTAGTAGCAAAACTAGTATTCCAAGTTGAGACTGGGTTATCAAGACCAATAACAACTGGAATAATTGATTGTGCTTCTAAATTGCTGAAAAGGGTAGCATCTGATTCTGTTTTTCTATCCTTATCTGTAAGAAGGACAATAATTCTAATTGCACCTTTGGTCCAACCAGATGGATAAAGAGCTGCTGCATTGAGTGCAGCGACAGTGTTTTGAGTGGAAGTTGTAGAGATAACATCATAATTAACAGATTTACCGAGTACATCGATATTATCACCAATAACTCTGCTTAATTGGAAATTATAACCACCAGTTGCAGCATCTGAAAAGAGACCAAGACCAAGACTTGGGCTTTCGCAAAGTGTATTTATTCTTGAAATAAAGCTGCTCATATAGTTTGAAACCGATTTCCAATAGATATCCTTGGATGGAGCTGAATCCACTACAACTAAAATATTAAGATTTTCTAAATTGGATGGAATACTAAGTTTGAGACCTAAATCAGCGGCAGCTGTGGATGGGTTGGTGTTGATATATACTTGAGAGAAAGTTGGGTTTATATAACTTGGGTCTGAGTTTGAGAATGAAGAGACACTATTTGGGGCACCTGGTTTACAGAAATCAGCAGTACTAATATCACAGTGTTCACCTTTCCAACCATAGAAACATGAGCATGTACCATCACCTTCAGTACCATCGTTTACAGCACCATTTTCGCAAGCTGGGGCCTTAATGCATTCTGGGCCAAAATAATTTTCTGAACATTGGAAGCAATTTGAGCTTGGGTCCCAACCTTCGTTGTTACATGTGCATTGATTAACACCACTAGTAACACCATTACCACAGATTGGTTTTTCTAAAAATTTTATATAAAATTAGTACTAATTTTTTTTTTATTTTGTTTAGAAATAATTAAAAAAATTTGTTACTTACTGATGGAAATAGTGAATGATGTAACTGTTGAACTAACACCACCACTATCGGTACAAACGGCTGAGAGTACATATGAACCTACATTTGAAGTAGTACCAGTCATTGACCATTCCAATGTAGCAGTATTTTGATCTTGAATATTTTTAGTTTGGGTGATACCTGATGGTAAATTGGCAGTTTGAATATGAACGGTCTTTGTAGTATCTGGAGATGTGCATTGGAATGAGAAAGTACTGCTCTTTCCAATGTCGATGTATTTAACTTCACCATCAGCTGGGGTTGGTGGATAAACAAATGTTGGTACACTGGTTGTACAGGTGTTACCATCATTATCAGTGCCAGTACATGAACCGCAATCTGTATTATATTTACATACGGTATTAGCTTTATTGCCGCAAGTATTATGGCAAAAACCGGTTTTATCTTCAGACTTGAGAAGGAAATCGACTACGATATAAGTTGTTGGAACTTGAGGATCTTTAATAACAATTTGGGTTGAATAAAGACCTTGTTGGGTTGGAGTGAAAGTGACAATACCAGTGGTTGGAGCAATAGTAAGACCTGATGGTTGTGTTAAACTTGCACTTGGAAGAACTTCGGTGGAGAAGGTTAATTGGTCGGAATCACCATTTGGGTCATTGGCAACAACTTTGAATTTATTAATTCTTTTGTTGATAACATTAATAATTGGAACCATACCAGATACTGGTGAAATATTTAAACTTTCGAATGGTGTGTTTGGTTGAAGTCTAACTTTGGTGGTAATATACCAATTACCATTTGCATTGTTTATAAGAGATGAAAGTCTACAACAACTTGTGAAAACTACTAAATAATCTTTTTCGGTGGTTGTTGTTGGATAAGTTCTTGTAACTGAGAAATCACCAGTGAACCAATTTTCAGTTTTATCAAAACTGTTAACTGTAACTATTACACTGACATCACTACCTGAACCAAACTTTAAAGTACCAACATTAACTGTTGTACCAATGTCAATTCTATTCATGAGACCACTGAAAAATTCAATTCTAAATCCAAAATTTGATGAGAATTTAATTACATTGTATGATCCAACTGGTTGGTATGAAATGGTACCAAAACGAAAATGGGTTGCTATATATTATTTAAAAAAAATATATTTTATTAATATTAAAAATTAAAATATATAATTATTTTTTTTTATTTTAAATTTGTTTTTTCAAATAATTTATATCTAAAAAAAAAACAAATAATTCCAAAGAAATAAAAATAAAAATAATATAAATTTACCTTCACCCAAACATATTAAGGAAATTAAAATGAAAAGATATAATAATATTTTTTTCATTTTTTTTATCCTTTTTAAGTTGTGATTTAAAAAATAGGAGTGTTTATTGGATAAGATAAACAAATTGATTAAACTAAAAAAAAAGGTTTTTTATTTAATCTTTAAATAATTTTTTTTTTTTATGAATAAATAAATAGTCTTGGAAAAAAAAAAAAAAAAAAAAAAAATTTGAAATTTTAATATTTATAAATAAATATAATTATAAAATATTCTATAATACAACAATAATAATAATAATAATTTGGAAAAAAAAAAAAAAAAAAAAAAAAAAAAAATGGATAAGGATTTCTTGTGTGATTAGAAAAAAAAAAAAATAAAAAATAAGAAATTAATTAAAAAAAAAAAAAAGAAAAAAAAAACGTATACTCACTTCTGTTTTAGTTTTTTTCGGTAGAATGGCAGAGTTGCAGTAAAAAAGAATTTTGGTGCAAATTTTTTTGAGCCGTTTTGGATTATTTTATTTTTTTTTATTTTTTTTTATTTTTTTTTTTTATTTTTTTTTATTTTTTTCATTTTTTTTTCATTTTTAATTTTGTGTCATGACACATGCTAATCTAATTTTGGATAGATGTCCAAACAGTTTTATAATAATTTTCATAGTTATTTTTTGATTTACATATTATCTTGTTTTCACTTGTTTTTTTTAATCTAGATTAAAAAAAAAATTAATTCTTTCTGTGTGAAAAAAAATTAAAATTTTAAATAAACACACAAAAAATCAAAATAAAATGTAAATATTTTAGTTATCTCTTAAAATTTAGTTTTAAAAAGATTTTTTTTATATTAAGAATTTATTTACTTTTATTTATTTATTTATTTATTTTTTTTTTATTATTTTTTATTATTTTTTTTTATTTATTTTTTTTTTTATTTGGCTAAATGAGAAAATTTTTGCTTGGAACAAGCACAGTTTTTTTTTTTTTTTTGGGTAAATTTTTTATTTAGATTTTTATTTAGATTTTATTTAGATTTTTATAAAATGTCAATTATCATAAATAAATTTAATATTATCTAGATAGACTGGTGATTGATTGAACCCAGAGTTAATTAATATACCATTGAAAGATACAACACTGTTAATAATATTATTAGCTTCACTACTATTATTATTGTTATTATTTAGAATTTTTAATAATTTAAATGGTATTCTTACTAATGTCCATGAATTGTTTTGAAAATTATTTATATCAATATTATATTGTTTTAAATTTATATTATTATTATTTGTTAATAATTTAATTGAAATATTTTGACTTGAGGAATTTTTACCACCATTTACCCAAAGTTCTAAATATTTTATACCTGTTGAAGGAATACACTGATCGCATTCAAATTTTAGTTGGTTGTTTGGTGATGGATTAAATTGTAAAAATATTTCGCCTCTATATGATTCGCTAGAGTTATAAACGAAATTATTATTTTCAATTTGTGTGGTATTTTTAAATTTATCATTGATTTTTTCATCAAAAATTGTGAATGTGGCATGATAGGCAAGGGTTTGACAATCACCAGTAACTCTTCCATAATTTGGGCCGTAAATTCTAACAACAAGTTCTTCACAACCAGTGCTTGGACAATAGTTATCCCCTAACCTAGGATTATCTTGATAATACATTGCATATAGTATTGATGTTATTGGGTCAAAGTAATAGGTGCTTTCTGTTATTTGGCTTTTGCTGTTCGTTGGGTATAGTTCTCTAACATTATTTGAGTTTCCATCAGTTCCAGAGGAAGTCTTGGTAACTTTTAGTTCAATACCAGTCGAGATACCAATACATACACCTATTGTAAAGTTTTCACTAATTTCCCAGTTCATTGGTTGTATTCTAAGGTAGTGTGGAGTGGGGTGTGGAAAATGGAAATCATAGTGATGCCCTTTGTATACTAAATATTGAAATCTAACCTTTGGACTATGAGTTGGTGTACCTTCTAATCCTAAAAATTGATTTGGGTCATTATTTTTAATTGCTACTATCCCTGCCTCTTTGCCGTTATAGTTGGTTATTGAAGAGTCTCCATTACATATGAAAAGCTGAGCAGTATTCTCTTTGCAAACTAGCCCATTCCATTTTGGTATATATTTACATTTATTTGTTTTGTAAAATGGAAGGTTTCTTGTTAAAACGGTGTTTGGTATTGATGTTAGTGAGCCATCTAAATCTCTAATGGTCGAGGTTTTATCACCATCTCTTAATGAGCTCTCAAAATGAATTTCTTTATCTACTTTATAAAATCTAAGATTTCTAAACCCACTTTTACTAGAGTCTTGCCAATCATCTACTCTAAAAAACCCTATGGCAGATATATTTCTTTGTGGCATTGATGCAGGCACTTGAAAGTATTGAAATGTGATATTTTCCAATGTAGTTGTTCCATCATATATTTCAAAGCCTCTAATTGGCATAAGGGTATTTTCGCCGAATGGATAGCTTCTACCATTTACCAATGGTATTTTGTTTGATGCTTGACCTTTGTTATCGGTTTCACCGACAAATAATGAATTGTACATTTGTTGACCAACTGCTGGATCTTCAGGTGTGGTGCCTTCGCTTGCTAAGGTAAATCCAATTGCATTATCAGCGATTTGAAAGTTTTTAAAGATTAAATGACCTCCTCTTGCCCATCCACCACGCCAACGATTTTTGTAGAGTATACCACCGTCAAATATTGAAGGTGTGGGGTCAGAATTGATATCAGTTGGGTCAGATCTTGGTTTATATCGACCATTTATAATTGCGCCGAGTTGTTCAGGATTTTTAATACTTGGAGGTGTAATTTTAATTCCAGAGTCAATTTGAAGACCGTTGGTATTTGAGTGCGCAACATTATTTGTAAAATTTCTGGCTGGTATTAAATATGGTTTGATTTTCTTTTCTACACCTTCATTGTGACTTAAACCTGTTGGGTATTCTGGAAAAATATACCAAATACCAGCTGATTCCGAACCGGCTGCAACATTACCAACGAAATGATTGTTTGCATTTGAAATCCAAAATGTTGAAACCGCTTCACATTCTGTACATTGTGTTGGGTTGCCATTAAAGTCATATGGTTGAACTCTTTTACACATTTCACAGCTTCTATCGTGTGGGAATAATAAACCAGCTTTAGTTAAAAGACCCAGGTTATTTGTAATGATATTGTCCATTTCGATACCATCACACAACATATAGCAGTGGCCTATCGAGTCAAACCCAATGTTATTATTGACCAATAAACCATGTGTTCCATGAATTACGTAGCATCTTGAGAAAGATTTATGAACGGAGCAGTTTTGAATATATGCAGGTTTTTCATAGCCTCCTTTTTCATCAACTCTTCCACACATATGAAAGTGTATAGGATACCTCGAGATTACATGGGACTGACCTACCTGAAATAGCTCCACACCTTGAAAATGGGCATTTTTAAAATCCTTTTGAATCATAATATGTGCACCAAAGGTATCAAATTTGAAGAATTCGCAAACCAAAGGAGAGTTTACACACGAAGTACCCAGAGAGCCTTGAATTTTAATGTTTCGAGTTAATAAACCAACTTCACCCCTTTCATCAATTCCTTTGGTAATGTTGCCCCAGTGAGAATACTTCAATGGATTCTTTAATTTAATTTGATTCTTTTTACATTCTTTACAGGGCTCGATATAGTTTGTTTCGGTTTGGTACATATCAAAATCAGTGCTGGCAAATACTAGTTCGGAACCAACAGGCCAATCACTAACTTCGTCCAGTACTGTAATTATTTGATTCGATGGGTTGGCGGTTTCATTTAATTTCGTCCAAAGAGTTTTTGGTGTTTCGCCATGTAATTCTATCGTACCACCATGGCCAATGCCAATTACTTTTTGCCCAAAATCTAAATTTAAACCATCCTCAATTGTTTGATTAACTTCAGTATGTATAGATTCACCATAAATAGTTATGGATGTTTTATATTTGAATTTGCATTGCTCGCTACCAATTATTAATTGACCACCATCATAAATCATTATAGACCTTGCCCTTAGTTCCAAACCTTGCTTATGGTCCCATACAAGCATACCACTGCCAGTTATTCTAATGGTTCCCAATGCTGGTGGTGATATATCTAATAAAATCGGGCCGGTAATATTGATGTTTTGATTGACTACCGGTAGTTTATTATTAATTTTCCATGTTGCTAAGTTTGACCATTTTTCTAAAGTTGTAATTTTATGTGGGCAGTTTTCATTAACATCATTTTTATTATCTATTGCATAGATATTTTTATTTAAAATAAATATAATTAGTATAAAAATATAAATATTAAAAGATTTTAAAAATCTCATCTTAAATATATATTGAAAATAAAATAAATATTTTAAATATTTACATTTAAATAAATAAATAAATAAATAAATAAATAAATAAAAAAATTAATAAATAAATAAATAAATAAATAAATAAATAAATAAATAAATGAATAAATTATTATAATAGTGGGGTTTTATTTTATTTTATAGATAGCGTCTAAAGTATGAAAAAAAAAAAAATTTAAAAAAAAAAAATTAATTTTCTAAAAAAAAAATATTTTTTTTAAAATATTTAAAAAAATATATTTGAAAAATTTAATTAATTACATCTTTTTTTATAATTTCAAAGAAATAAATAGTTACCAAGGGTATGAAAAAAGAAGTTTCTTGTTTATAAAAAGAAAAATAATGGATAATATATATTTAGAAAGTTACTGGGTATATATGGGGGAACATACCAAAATTCTATGGATTTAAGATATTGTTATAAAAATTATAAGTATAAATTATAATAATTTTAAAGGTAGATTAAAAATTATCTATTCAGCACATTAATACGGATTTGTGGAGTTTTTGTTTTCAGATATCTTTCAGCAATGAAGGTTTTACTTTTACCATAAATTAAATTATCTAATCCATACCCAAGCGGATTTTGCACGACCTATGAACATAAGATCAAAATTTAATATAAAAAATTAAAGATAAATTGCAAAAATAATAGTAATAACATAGTGATAAAAATAATAATATAGTTTTAGATTTAATGTACCAACTAAATTATCACACTTTTTATTTCCATCAAGCCCAAATCCATTATTTAATGATAAAGAAAAAAATGGTTGGTGGATATTTGGCCAAATATCATTTTCTTTACTAGAAATTGATCTTCCACATATCAGGTTTTACAGCGTGACAGGCAAACACCAAATAATAAAACCGCCACTCCTCCAAAATAATAAAAACACATCACTTTTTTGCACAAAATTTTTTTTTATTATTATAAAGAAAAAAAAAATATCCAGTTTAAACCTGATATTTTTTTTTATTTTTTATGTAATATTTTTTGCTTAACATTATTTTTTTTTATTTTTTTTATTTTTTATAAACAATATATTTAAATAATATGAAATTAAATATTTATGGTTTTTTATATTTAACATTTTTATTTCTAATATTATTAAATAGTTTAATATGTGGGTACGTTCTTAAAGATATTTCAATATCTAATTTCTATAAACAATATGCATCAGATTCAGCAGATAGCACATATCAGTGCAAATTTACGGCCGTTGTTTGGTGTGAGGTATCCGATCAATCAGAAGATTGTGACGCCATACCAGTAGATAGTTCAGGCGGTTCTATTAGTAATAGTCCTTCTTTCAAAAATGGAACCACTAAAGTTTATAATATATTGCTAGAAACTAATCCAGGCACGTTCTCAGTTATTTTTGGAACAACCATAGTAGCTACTTTTGAATGTTTAGGTGGGTTTTAAAATACTTGGTATTTTAATATAGTTTATTTAATATTAATATTTTTATCAAAAATATAGTTCTAGATTTTAATAAAATATCATTTAAACTAATTTCAAACAAATATACAATATTACCAAAAATGTATATATTTGGTGAATATGAAGTGACAAGTGATGTTTCAAATGTTTCATATGATAGAGTGAAAACAGAACTAGATAGTTCAATTAGGGACTATTGTTTCTTTTATACAAAACTTTTTACAAATAGATTTGTATTAAATTGTAATAAAGGGATACCAGATAGCTATGACCCTTTATCAACCAAAGTAACTTTTTCATCAGGTGATAAATCTAAAGTATTTACCTTGGAGCCATTGACTAATTCTGGTAAGTATACAAATATTGGTTAGAGTATGAATATATCAATGATATTATAACTTATAATTAAAAATTTATAGGGCTAGATAATAGTTTAGCAATTACAAGTATTGAAACATACCCAGATTCGCAAAGTATTCAAGATTTAAAACTATTTGGATATGGAAGAGGCTCTGTTCTTTTATTTAAAACTAACTCGGCAGTATATAAAAGGTTTTTCTATTTAAAATTAAATGGTTTGCAATTAATCTTTCAAAATTACCCAATTTATGGTGATGATTCGAGTACAACATATTTAGCTCCACTTGGAATAGGTTCTAATCTTTATGACCTTTATTATTTCCAAACTAACAGACTTATTAAAGCAAATTCAAATCAGATAAAAACACATGTAACTGATTGTAAGTAGGAAGTTTTAATTTAATAAAAAAGGATTGTAAATGAGTACTAATTATAAATTTTTTTAGATAGTTTAGTTTCTATACCAACGATTGGTTTAAATACACCAGTTTATTCAACTTCTATTCCAGTTTTAACTTTAACTTTTACAGATAATAAAAAATATGATTTTCAATCCATAGAGTATTGTGTATTCAACCAAGACTTCCCAATAACCGCTAAATTCCCATTTGGTATGTTTATTATCTCCACTTTTTTTTAATTTTTTTGTTTTGAAAACAATTTATATTAAAATTTATTTTTTTAATTAAATAGGGTATTTTGAATCTTCACCTGGATCATATAGTTACCAAGCTAGTTTTTTATTAAAGCCTCAATATAGTTCAACAGCTAATATTTATTATACCCCACTGTCTCAACAAACACAAAAGACAATACCATTTCAAAGTTTTGGTAAGAAAAATTTAAATTAAAAAAAAAAAACTCTACAAACCACAATTAATAACTAACTTTTTAATAAATTTTAGATACTTCATTTAATTATGATCAAGCATTGGCCCCTACAATTTACAACGCAGAAAAATACCATTTAGAAAATCATTTATATTTATTAAAACTTTCTATTGTTATCCCCTATAACTTTAACTATATTTTGTGTGATAAAAAACATTTTGGAGTCGAATCTTTGGTTTATGGTCATGTAAATGATGGTGTGTATGAACTTACAAATTTCGGTTCGGAAATTTCGGTGGTTGACCAGGTTTTTTCAAGATTCTACAGTCGTTATGGTGATATTTTGGCTGCATATGGCCAAAATGTAGAAATCCATCAAGAAGCTCCATTTTTCAATCGTAAGTATTGATTTAAATTTTTAATAACTTTAATTAATATTAACTTTTTTTTAAATTTAGTTGATTATTCAATAAAAAATGTATCATTTTTGTATAATAATATTGATGTTACAGGTCATAGACACTACAATGTCCTCTACTTTAATTATAGCAATGCACCAAAAGAATCAGTATTCAGATTAGTACCAATTTCATCACTGAACGACCATGTAGTAGAACCAGTGCTATTTTTTTCAACTTTTAATGAAACTTTAAAACTATTTCAAATTGAATTTTATGTAGACTCTAATGTAGAACTTGGTGAATATAGTTTCTTTTTAACAATCAACCCATACACTTACTTTATTAGTAGCTCTAATTTAGAAACTAAGCTAATAATCAAAAAATCAAGTATGTATTACTATTATTATTGCTAAATTGTGTATTATCAAATTATTTAACATATAATGTAATTTTAGATATGGATTTTCAGGGACCGATGTTTAGAGAAATTAAAAAAATTATTCCAGGCCAACTTAATGAGAATAATTTAGTTGGCACCATTGGTTGGGATGTCACAATCGAAGATCAAGTAAATGGTTTTGACAGGGGATATGTAGTAATAAAAGGTGAAATCGATCAATCAACGTATAATATTTCATTGGATTTATCAAAAATGAAATCAGGAAATAGATTTCTTGGCCAGTATCATTTTGGTGTTGATATTTCATACCCATGCCTAACTCAAAACTATGTGATTGACGAAGTTAAACTATATGACAAAGGAAATAGAGTATCCAATTTTTCAACACTACTTATCAACTATTCAAGTATATTCAATCCATTTTTATACTTTTTAAATTCAACAACAATTAATAAAATTCAATTAACCTGTGGTTCTGACTCAAATGATGATACACCACCTGTTTTGGATTCATTTGTTGTTTCACCAGAAACAGAAATCGATGTTAGTACAAAGGACAGAACAATCACTTTTACTTTTGGTGCCACTGATCCTGAAAGTGGCATAAAGAATAATACATATCCAATAGTTTATATCAGCAATTCAAATAATCAAATTATTGAATGTGTTTCAAAAATTTTGCAAATATCAAATAAAGAGGCAAAATACACTTGTTCAAAACAATTACCTGTTGGATTTGGTTACCCTGGCAAACTCATATATTCAGTTTTTGGTCTAATTAATAATGTGGGGTTGTATAGTGGATATCCAGCTAAAACACTATCTGAAAAAACAAAGCCATATTATATCGAAACCAAGTACACTACAGAAGAACCTTTGATTATTGGCACATTGAACACAATTACAGATAGAGGCGGTAACCTATGGTTAACTGGTAAAAAACTACTCAAGGCACAAATTGGATGTGTAATGTATAATGAAAATACGGTTCAAAACCCGGTATCAACTCAGTTTTCAACTGTTATTAAGGTTCCAATCTTACCTACAAAAAAGCCTTTTGAAATTTTTATTATTACAGAATCAGGAAATACCAATTCGTTAATCATCACACCACAAATTTATGATGGATATTTTATTGAATGTAATAATAATGGTGTAAACAATGGTGTTGGTTGCACCTGCCCAAACAAATGGACAACACTCGATTTCGAAAAGCAATGTGCAGTACCAAACCATTATATAATATCATCAACCCAAGTATCATCAACAACAGGTGGTGAAATTACACTTTATGGTTGGTTTGGTTCAGTCATAGAAAACCAAAAACTGTTTATTGATAATAAAGAAGTAGCAGCACACAATATATCTCCAGAGTCAATCAAAACAACCATAGGTCCTGGAAAAGTTGGTCCAGTTCAATTTACTTTAACACAAAATTCAGTTCAATGGAGTGGTTTACTTTATCCATATGAAGCCCCTGAAAAAGAATGCCCAATAAAATGTAATATAAATGGTGAGTGTGATAAAACTACAGGTATTTGCAAATGTAATCCAAAATTCACAGGATTTGACTGTTCATCACCAATCAATGAAGGAAATGAACCCCCAAAAACCGAAACTGAAGTCGGTAATAATGGTTCTACAGTTATTAGGGATAATGAAGTTGGTTTCGCAATTTCAATCGAATCCATAGTGGAGCTAGACTTAAATAATAATGTAGTATCAACACATAATTTATCATCAGTTTGGGATTTTATAAAAAAAGTAGACACAGTTTCATCATTTAATCAAAAAAGAATAAACGACGACAATACCAATGCAACAATAGGTTTAGTTGTAGAAGAGGTAATCGGAAAAGACAAAGATTTTATCTTTGCAGGTAATCAATTTACAGTATCTAAAGGTGGTTTGAAAATAACACTTTCAATTTCAAATTGGTTATATAAAAGCAACTTAAATCGATTACAGGTACAAATGTCATCAGATATATCTATATCAAACGACAATTGCAATTCAGATAATGAAAATGCTATGGTAGAGTCATCATCACAATATTTATCAAATAATATTAATTATTTGAAGATTTCAAAAAATAAAAGAGTTTTATATGCAAAGTTCCAAGATAAAATGCTAGCTAATGATAGACCAACCACCATTACAACTCAGCTGCTATCAAAGAATGAAACCTCAGTTAAAATCTCTTTAAATTTACCACATTGTGAGGAGTGTTTAATAGATCCTGGTATGCATAAATTATTTTTTCATTTAAAAAAAAAAAAATAATATATTAATTTATTTTAATTTAATTTAGATTTTTCTTTATTAATTTCTCAAGACTATAAATTTGATTGTCAAAAATCTAAAAATTGGATTATAGCAGTTGCAGTAGTGGCAGGTGTGGTTGGCCTTGCTTTAATATTTATAGCATCCTTTATAATTTATAAAAAGAGTACTTTCTTAAAAATTAAAGTATATGCTTTTAAAAAACATTTAAAACAATAAAAGTAATAAACTATTTTAATATTTATAAAATTCATTTTGTTTTATTTATTATATTTTTTAATGGTCAAAAGAAATATTTGCTAAAACAATACGATATCCATCAATATCTTCATATGTTGAGCCATTATTGTCCCAGTATGGATTATAAGATACAACCTTTTTGAAACCTGCCTCTATTAATTTTTTACATTGATGATTATATTCATTTAAATCGGGTAAATAAAGTGCAATTAAGTTGTCTTTTGTTGGTGCTTTACCCACTGTAGTTCCTCTATGATGTGTAAATTCTAAATGATAAACTTCTTTTGGATGGCCTAAAATAACACCGTCGAAACCTTGATGATCTTGAAATTCAAATAAAAGTTCGAAATCCAATCCTTTAATATACATATCCTTTATTTCTTTTAAATTATCTGTTGGTCTTGTAAATCTTATATGTTTTTTTAAAACCATTTTTTATTTTTAATAAAATAATTAATAAAAAAAAAATTAATTTCTTTTATTTTTAAAAAAATAAAAATTTTTATTTTTTTCACAATATTGATTTTAAATTAATTTATACAAAGATATTTATTTTATTTTATTATTTTATTAATTTACATATAAATCATCTTTATTTTTTTTAGATAAAGATTTTAAAGAGAATTTGTATCTATTTGTTGCCAATAATATTTTTGTACGATGTCTTTTATAAAGAAAAGCACCAATGATGATTGCTGATGCTGCGAATACACAAGGTACTACAATCGAAACAGGTAATACCCATGATTTTTTATTATCTTCACCACATGTTGATTTATAAGATGAATCTACTAATACAGAAAAATCTAAAAAAAAAAATTAATATTAGTAATGGATAAAAGGTAATATACAAATGAGTTATTAAATTACATACCAGGATCAATTAAACAATTTGAACAATGTGGTAAATTTAAACCGACAATTAAAGAATCGTTATTTCTTTCAACTATTCCACTTGTAATAAAAGTTGCACGGCCATCAGATAAAATGGAGTTTATAAATCTACCAAAGAGAACTTTTGAATTTTTTGTAATTTTTAAATAATTTAAATTGGATTCTGATAAATTTGATTCTGAAACACTTGTTGTGGCATTATTACATTGATTACCTTGATGGTCTTTTAATACATCTACTGAAGATTCGATTTGTAATTGTAAAGTATTTAAATTGTTATCAAAAGTGTAGTTGAATAATTCTATTGAAACTTTAATAGAATTTTTTTCTAATAAAAATTGATTACCTGCAAATTCTTGAATACGATTCTTTTTAATCTCTTCGATTGTTGATTTAATCCATGTATTGTTATCTGGGTTGTTTAAATTGTTTAATTTTTGATTAAATTGGTAAAAAGTTTTATTTGAGTGGTCTGGGTCATATTTCCAATTATCTTTTAATTCATAAGTCTTGGCTGGATTACCATAGATATCAATTTCCAAAAGCTTAACAATTAATAAATTATAACTGGTTTGTTCGTTATTAATTGAAATAGCAGAAGATGAACTGTCAACTGTGTTTGTTGATTTTGGTGGTTTATTTGGATCTGATGTTGGTTTTGGAGTTGTAGTTGGGGTAGAAGTTGAAGTGGTTGATGGATTATTATCACTACTGCTGCTATCTTCTTCCTCCTCCTCTGGTGAATATGCACTGCAATCAAAACCTGAATAGTTATTATTACATAAGCAAATTCCTGATTTGGTATCGCACTGACCATTTGAGCTACAATCATTTGGGCACTTCTTTTCTTTAACAACTGAATAATATTGGAAACGATCTTTACCAAACCATGATATATTATTTTGTGTTATATTTACTGATGTAAGACCTACAGACCCTGGAGCAACTGTGCAATTTATTGTTGAGCTATCTTTATTAATGACAGGACAGTCATTACCACCAATAACTACTTTAAGATTTTTATGATCATTACCAAACCAACCATAAAGAGTCACTTGCACATTGCCATCGCTTGGAGCTGGTGTTATACTTGAACAATAATGGTTTGGTATGGAACAGTCTGTACCGGTCCAATCACTTAAACATTTACACGAACCTGTGGTATTGGTACAACTACCAAATTTATTACCACCACACTCCACTGCAGTATTTGTTGGGATCGGACAATTTTTGAATGGAGTTCCACAATCTAATCCTTGGTGAGAAGAATCACAAGTACATATTCCAGTAGTGTTTGTACAAATATTTAAACCACCACTGCAAAGTTCACCTGCTGAATTTACTGGACACTGTTTAAATTGATTTTCGCATGCTACTCCCTGATGTGATGAGTCACAATTACACACACCAGTAGTGGTTTCACAGGTATTTGAGCCACCACTACAAACCTGATTGGTAAGGGAATTAACTGGGCATTCTATATAGGGTAATGAGCAATCTATTGATTGGAAGCCTGGTAAACATTTACATTTTCCTGTCAAAATTATACAAGTACCATTACCTGAACAATCATTTGGACATGTTGAATTATAAGTATAAGAACCTTGAACTATTTGATCATCATTTTGGGAAATGACATAAGTTCTCGTACCATACCCAGGACCTATTGAACACCTAATCATTTCATTTGTGGCTAGAATTAAAGTACAGATTAAATCACCAATTTTAACTTGTAAACCATTATGGATATCGGTAAACCAACCATTAAAAACAACAGTACCTCCATTTTGATCTGTTGGAATAATGTCATTAACATATATTGATGGGAGTTGACAAACCAGACCCTTCCATTTTCTGTTACAAACACATGTACCCTCTACTACACAATTACCTTGACCAGAGAAATAACCGCAACTTGTAGCATCACAGAGTTTTGGTACTACCATTCCGACATTAGCTGTAAGATTTGAAACATATTGAATTTGTTTATCGCCAACTCTTAATATTGTCGCCCTAAGCATGCTGGCTAAAGACGAGCTATAACTTTTAATTTTACAAACAATACTTTCGAAAGAAGAAGTTACTACAGCACATTCTGCAGTATCATAAACAACCGATATGGCTGTTGTATTATAACTAAAATAAGCGCCAATGATTGTAACAGTTGCTGAACTATCCCCATTAATAGAAACACCATAACTTGAAACTACAGGTACATTATCGGAACTTGATAATGTAAATTGTTTGTTAAATGGTAATAGTGAAATACTAAAGTTGGTTGGAGTTGTAAGGCCTTCAATAATGTATGATTTGCTAAATATTACTGGTTTCCAGTTATATGTAGGTGTACTTGAAATAAAACTGGAACCAAAACCTAAATCACTTCCATAAATTACAGTATTTGATCCCTCTATCTTAATGGTTGATGGGAGAGCAGTTTGTGCACATTGATTGGTATACCCTGTAAAAACATTTCCTGCAAAAGCTTTATAAATTTTTTCTACACAAAAATATGATGAAAAACATGTTGGAACTGAACCTGAAAATACATTATATGATAAATCTAAATTTGTACTACACCATGACTTATCAATAGGTCCTTTAATTGCATTTCCTGATAAATTACTATAAAATAATTATAGGAGTAAAAGGTATTTAATTAATAAAAACACTTTAAATGAAATTGATGTTAAAATTTGTACTTACAAATTTATAATATTTATACCAGTAAAAATTGGTAAATTTGATGTAATTCCATTTTCTCCTAAAGAAACACTTTCAATATTATTAAATATGGTAAAGTCTAAATTACTGAGGGGTAAATTACCATTTGAAAAAGTAAAACTCTTTAAATTTGGAGGTAACTTTGAAAAAGGTAACCCATTTTTACCAAAAGATCCAACAGTTGTGAATGATAAAGTTTTTAAATTATTGAAACTTGATAAGTCTATTGGACTTGTCTCCTCTGTAAAAGGCCCATCGGAAATGAACGATACTAAATTACTTTTAATGATTTCAACTGGGAACTTTCTTATTGTTGGTGATGTTGGTTGTCTCAAATAAATATTAGTAACAGATGTAAATGTTGAAAAGGCACTATTGGCGGGGGTAAATAATGAGGAGTATATAAATGTTAAATTTACAATTGACATTGATGAGAAGGATGGTATGTTTGAAAAAATTGATTCGAAATTATCAAACTGTAATACTACATCTGGTATATTATTTTCATATGAAATATCTATAAGTGGATAAATAGTTTCAGATGAATATGAAATTTTACTATAGAAAAGAAAAAAAAAATATTTTAATAAAGAAATTTTTTTATATTTTATTTTTATTTTACTTACAAATTTTTCAAATACTGAAAAAAAGAAAATTTAAATGCTGCTTGGAACTGAGCCGATAGATTTATTGTAAGGTTTTTAATATTTTGATTAACATATGGTGCTAGGGAAAATGTTGCTGGTAAAATGCATCTATTCAAGTATCTGTAAAAATATTAATATTTTTATAAATTTAATAAATTTTAAATTGTAAACTATATACATACATAGACTTTGTATTACCAACTTTAGTAAGGATAGTTGAGTCAACATTTGCTGCTACTAAAGTAAATGAGTTTAAACTTGAAAAACAGCTAAGATCACCACTAGTAAAAATTTTTGATGCATCTTTTGATTGAAGATTTCTTTTAAAAAAAAAAAAAAAAAAAAAAATTAGTCTTAATATAAACTTAAATAATATATAGTTTTTATATACATACATGCTTGAAACTAAACCAGTACTGGTATCACAAATAACACCCAACCCACAATCTATGGTAGAATCGCATGTTAAATTTGGGATACATACCAAATTCTGTGAAAAATATGTTGAAATCCCTAATTTTGTAATTAAAGTTTGTAAGCAATTATACTCTGTATCAAGAATACCATTAATAATAACAGCACTGCTATGAGTATTTAAATAAAAAAAAATGAAAAAAATGAAAAAAAATTGTATTTTTTTCATTTTTTTTTATTGTGGTGTGTGAAAAAATAAAAATAAAAAGATAAAAATAAAATGATAAAAATAAAATATGAATAAAACTTTTTTTTGATTGCTTCCCAAAAAATAAAAATAAAAAAATAAAAAATAAAAAAACCCCAAGAAAAAAAAAAGAAATTTTTTAAAAAAAAATAATTGATTTTGTTTTTAATCGCTGAAAACGGTTTTTTTTTATTTAAAAAAAAATAATTAAAAGCAGATTAGATTTTTATTCAAAGAAAAATAATTTTGTTAATCAAAAAATAAAAATTTATTAAAAAAAAAAATAAATAAAAAAAAGCAATAAAAATATCTGGTATTAAAGCTTTTTAAAATAATTATATGTATTATATATAATATCCAAAAATAAAAAATTATTTTTATTTATAAATTTTATTTTAAAAAAATCTAAACTAATCGGATATAACAATAGGTGCACCAAAATAGTATTTTTGTAAATAAAATGTGTTTCAATAAGTTTTCGTATTTTTAAAAAATAAATGGGGTTGATAATTCTTAGCATTTTTTGATGAAAATTATGTTTTTTGGATTTTATTTTATTAGTAATAAAAAAATTATTATTATTATTATTGAATGAGGTTTTATTTGAAAGTGACACTAAATAATTAATTAGTTATCTCAATTTTGGTTGGATTAAGTTAAAGAGGTGTGAATAAGAGGGATTGTTTAAAGGTTGACTATTCTACTTTTTTGGTATCATTCTTTTCATATATGATAAATTGTGCTAATGTTATAAAAGGAGGCTTTTGTTATTATAAAAGTAATAAACTTATCTATATTAATCATTTTATATTAACCAAAATATTAATATAATTTTAAAAAAAATTTAAAAAAAAATTAATTTTTTTTTTTTATTTTTTTTAAAATTTTTTTTATAATTTTTTTTTTTTTTAAAAATTTTTTATTTTAAAATTTTTTGTATTATTAACTAACATCATCATAGCAAACTATTTATTAATAATATATGAATAAATAAATAAATTTGTATAATATATTTATAATATATTATTTGTAAAATTATATATATATTTTGTTTTGTTTTTTTTTTTGTTTTGTTTTAAAATTTTTCTTTATTGTTTTTTTGTTTTTTTTTTTATAAATAAAAAAATTTGTGTTTTTAGTAATTAAATTATTATAGTAGTTTGTAATAGTAATAATAAATCAATAAAAATATGGATTCAAGATTAGATGTTAATACTATGGGATTAACATCCACATTAGTATCAAAATTATTTGATAATTTATCAGGATCGCTCGATGTAACACTATCAAATTTAATGACAAATGAAAGTGACAGATATGGTTTAATGAGCGGTGGCTCATCTGGAGGTAGTGGTAGTTCATTAAATATTGCCAGTACAAATATATCAGGAGGCACAACACCACCTACAATAACCGCAACTCCAGCCATATCACCAACATCATCAACAACCAATATAGCGAATTTAAATTTAAACACAGCAAGCGGATCACCTAATTCTACCCCAACCTCATCTATTAACTCATTATCACCAAATATAACAAATAATATTGGCAGCGGTGGTTTAACACCAAGTTCATCACATACAAATATCCCATCGCTTAATGCCAGTGGAAGTATAGGAAGAAGCTCACTTACCCTCTCACCAAATTCTTTAATGAGTATTGGTAGTGGTAGTTTGGGCGGCAGCGGTGGAAGCTCAAGTGGAAGTCAAATTGGATCATCTACAATTAAAATGTCAAAAGGCAATACACTAATAAGAAAGCTAGCAACATCTGGCAAAATATTAAATATCGATCAAAGTGAAACAGAATGGACCAATTTTGCAAGAAACTTTTGGTTTTATTATCCATCATTAATGTTAATAAGTGAAAGTAGTAAATATTGTAAAGAATCGGCAATTAGATTGGTATTAGAGTACTTACCAAAACATATTCAACAATTACAATCATCTTCAGCTGTAAACTCACCTTCCCAATCAACAACAGTATCACCCACACTAACAACACTAGGTGGTGGTTTTAGTGGCAGCATAGGGAAAGCTTCAAATATAAGTAATAATATAACGAGTAATGCCAATATAAATGGCAATAATACACAAACTACAGTAACAGCGGGTTTTAATTTTTCATTAACTGTACAACAACAACAACAAAGTAATTCAATCGTTAGCAATACAATCACAACTACCACAACTACAACTACTGGATCAACAGCAACATTTACAACATTAGGTCCAGGTGGTATTCAATCACCATCTTCTTCACTATCAAACGTACTTTGTTCCTCGAATCAATCTCAAAGCAAACACTTTTCATTTGAACAGTTTTTATCAACCATCAGCTCTTATCATCAAGGTAGCGATACCAAATATTTAGATTTAATTGAAAGTACTGTTGAAATTGTTGTTGCAGATATAATTACTCACATTCTTGGTAAAGTCGATTTCTCCCAAGTTTCAAGCAACTCTAATCCTCCACTTTCAATGTTTTTAATCAATCGTCTTAGAGATTTGGCTTTTTATTATTTCAAACCAATTAATGCTAGATCTTTAAACTTTTCAACTTGGATTTCTTTAAGACTATCAATTTCTGATCAATGGTCATTAATTTTAGGTCAAATTTCGAGAATTTCGTATGTATTATACATTTTTTTTAAAATTTATTTATTTCTAAATATTAATTAATTTTTTTTTACTTAAAGTTTAATTCCAATCTCACAATATTTAACAAAAACTGTTCAAAATAATCCACCATTGGATGATTTAATCCCATTATTTAAAGGTATTAGATGGGTTAGTTTAGTTGTAAGTAAAAAAATTACAATAAAACCAAAATTAAATAATATAATATTAATTATTTTTTTATTAAAATTTATTTATTTAGTTAACAGATTCAGAAAAAATTAATGAAGTTGAAAAATTATTAGGTCAAATGTATAATTGGATTGATAATAATAAAAAAAATGTTTTAAGATTGGTACAATTGGAGGCTTTAGATGGCATGTTATTATCAATGACAGATTATACACAATCAACGAATATTGTAGCAAAAATGAGAGAAATCTTTAAGAAAGCAGAAAAACTATTAAAGAATGACGAATTTGAAGATAGATCATCAAAGTTAATGTGTAGTATTATATCCCGTGGACCACCATCCTTTTTTGAAGAAGATTATGAAGGAATAATGAAGAGAATTTGGAAATCAATATCGGTACCAAAGAAGCGTGATTTCTCATTGGAATGTATTTTACGTTTACTTCAAGGAAGATTTGTGCCACCAAGAAAAATCAGCGGATTACAAACCTACCTCTCTACCAATACATCAAACTCATCCACTAATGGTGGTATTGCTGCTCAATTACAACTACGTTTGGATCGTGTTTATGAAAATAGTGGCAGTTATCTTTATGCTGGTCTTATCTTTAATCGTGGTAAAGTAATTCCACGTCTCCAAGAGATTATTCAAGGTCTTTTTGGAAAGAAACAAAACATACCAAAACCTATTGAATGTATTGACCTCTTGACAGCTATTTCGGTTCATATATCTGTACATAGTCTAAAGCTTTTAACCGATTCAATTTTACCAACATTATTTTCTTCCAATAACCCATTGTATCATGTCATTGCATTACGTACTTTATCAATTATTTTAGATCCAACCGGTGTATTTTGGAACACTGCTTATAGCGCAAACTCAAAATCAATTTCTGGTCTCTCTAGCCAAAATGACAATATTACCTATGTACGTAAAGAAGAAATTCAATTAACTTTTGAAACATTTTTATCAAAATCTTTCAAGCATTGTGAAGAGCAATCAGGTTTACCACAAAACAACTCTTTGATCTTGAATGGTGACAATCCATCAATCTCTCAGGATCCTCTTACCATTAGCACACAATTCGAACCAACCATTAGTCTTTATTCATTGATTAATGAATCTTCAACTGTGCACCACCACAAGTTTGAAAATGATACAACTATCGATGCTATTAAACGTTGGTATGAAGTCTGCACAAAATCTGTAGAACAACGTGAACGCGAACAATCCGAGCAAACTAGAGTTCTTTCAATTAGTTTAAATAATAAAATAGAACATTGGGAAAAGAATAACAGTCTAATCAGTCATCAATCTGAACCATTCACCACTAAAAAGAAGACAATAAGAAAGAAAACCATGAATCCAGATCTTTTAGAATTGTTTAAGGAAACAATTCGTTGTATTACATTTATCCCTAAAAATTTCATATTACATAGTAATCTTCACAAGTTAGTGCTCCACGAAGAGGAAGAAATCGCCTCAGCCGCCTCTCATGCCATTCAAGTTATTATGTGTGATCATCCAGAGCTACGTACTCCATTGGTTCAAGGTTTTACATCTTTAATTCTTCAATATGTAGGAAAGGATCATGCATCACTCCAAACTTTACTCTCACAATTATTAGGTTTAATTGATTTATGGAATGAACGTTCATTCATCGAGTCACGTCATGCATCAGTACCATTGGATTCATCTTTCTTCCCACCAAAAATGTTAGAAACTGAAATTGAAGCAATTGGTTTAGTTCATTTATCCTCACCAGTTCCATCAACACGTTTAATTGCTCTTCAAATCATTCGTTCTATTAGTGGTATTCGTAATACTGAAATTCATAATACTCAAATCGCCTCTGTTATTCACCAAAAGTGGCGTACTATCGCACAAAGAGCTAGACACCATTTATTATTAGATAATGCTTGTGGTATTGACAAAGAAATCAAATTAAATCCAAATGACGATTTACCATCCGCTGAAGAGCTTGTTTTAACCACCCACGATCGTTTATGGGCTATTACTTTATGTGAAATTGGTAGAATGTGTACCGAACATGACTGTGTTAGAACCTTATCAAAAGCTCGTGGTATTCTCTTAAATATTATCAATCTTATGCCACAGGTGCCAACCGAAAGTACCACAGATGAAAATAAAAGATACAATAACTACATTCTAAAATACCTTTGGATAAACTCACATAGTTTATTATTATCAACTAGCGGTATTGCTTCGAGCTATCCATTAAGACCAACTCCACAAGAAGCCTCTCAAGATCCATTAGTTGATGAAATGATTAAATTCGAATCAAATCTTCAAGGCAAAATCACTCAATACCTACCAACATTCTGGAATGGTCTCTTAAGCGATATCAGCCCAATTCGTGAAAAGTTATCATTTATTTGTGGTCTTTTACATTGGAGATTAATTCCAACATTAATCGACTCATTAAATGAATGGTGGACCCAAAATAAACAAAATAAGAAACTTAGTCGTGTTAGAGTCGATCTTTCAAACATTTTTAGAAGAATATCCCAACACAAAGACTTCCCACGTGCTATCTTTGAAAGTCAAGATCTAGTTCAAGTATTTGTTCAATTCATTCAACAAATTGATCCAATTTTTGGTGATCCAACTAAATTGCCAAGTATTAACAATGAAAGCTATTTCAATGACAATGCTGTCGTAGTTTATAATTTCTGTAATAGTCTTTTTACTCCAACCTTATGCGCATTAAATGGTCCAATTAGAAAGTCATTAATTAGCTCTATTAAATCAATTCCATGGACTGTTGGCGAGCGTTATAAAACATTCAAAGCTATTCTTCAATGGTCAGGACATCCAAATGTTTCTCAACAAAGAATGCAACTTGAAGGCTTTGAAATTAATAAAAGACTTTCAAAAATTAAAGACTCATTCCGTGAAGATGAAAAAGCACGTATTGAAGCTGCATTAAGAAAAATTAGAGATTGTTCTAGATTGGCAGCAGAGTCAATTTTAAAGTTGGGTACATTATTCGAAGAGGGTAAATTACAAAAAGAAGTTTTAGAATGGGTTGTCGATTCAGAATTAAAAGGAAATCGTATTTTAAGATGGGTATTGTCATATCATTTCGATGAAGCCTATGCTTATTTCCTAAGCCGTTGTTATATTGATAACCCAGCCGAATCTGTATTATATTTACATTCAATTTATGACCAATTCCTTCCAATTCCACCAATCAATCCCCCAACATTAGGTATCACTCAAGACATCTATCAATATTATTTTGACAAAGCCTTAGAAGAAAAAGATCAAGAAGATTTAGAGGATGAGCCTGTAACAATAATTGATAAACAATTCTCAAGAAAATTAGTTGATATTGGTGCATCTCTTTTATTCCTTTCATTATTAAATCTTTTACACCCAGCTTTCTTGGCTAGAATTAGATCTTTTGATTTAATTGCTCGTCTTTCACCAAGCTCATTTGGTTTATCTACTGAAGAAAACGTTTTAATTCGTTCACAACTTTTACCACGTCGTCAATCATTCTCTTCTAGAAATACCCCAACCAATAAAATTAATGCTCTTGAAGTTTCATCATTGGTTTCCCAAACCTGCCCACTCTGGACCGAAAAGCTTTTTGAAGAGGTATTTCATCGTTTCAAAAATTTAAATACTCAAAATAAGAAATGGACCATTCAATTCCTTTTACCATGGTGTAACAATATTAGTTTTGTCGAAGGTAGAATGACAAGAATGGTACCAGTTGAGTTCTTAAAACAATTCTTTGCAGTTCTTACCGAATCAATTACCCCAACCGGTAATAATACAGAAATGATGCCAGAATTAATTGATTTATGGTTAGCATTAGCAAGAAAGGAACCACAAAATCTTATGGTTATCATCAACTTTTTAGTAAAAAAATCAATTTCTAATCGTGATCATATGCCAATTTGTAAATTAATCATTCTTTATATTTATCGTATGGATCCAGAAAGAACATTAGAACCATTAATTTATCAATTATCCTACAGCGGTGTTTCTCATAGTATTGGAAATGAAAAAAGATTATCTGCCGGTCTTTCTGACAACGATTTAGGAAATTTAGAAGGTAATGAAGTCGATCGTAATAAACTTTCAAGACAATCTAGTAAAATTAGAGAAACTTGTGTCATCATTTTAACAGATTTAATCAGTGAAAATCTTGTGCCAGTAATGCCATATCTACATATAGTATTCAACTATTCTATTCTTCGTATTGATTCTACTACCGAATCACCATTACTTCAAAAGATGATCAATATTCTTTTGTCAGGTCTTAGAAATAATCTCTATGCCCAAACATTTGTAGCCAACAACGAAGAAGCTAAGCAACAGAGTCGTTCCATTTTGAAATCATTCGATACTATTTTAACCTCACTTCGTTTGCCAACATTCCAAATTAAATTTGATTTCAATGACGACAGTATTCATCCAATTGGCTTTGGTAGTATTAGTGGTAGTTCAATTGGTATCAATGGTACTCTACGTAGAGACGTTAGAAATAATGAAATCATTAATCAATCATTTATAGGCTTTGATAATAAAAATCCAATCGTTTCAATTTATTCAAAGAGAAAAGCCTCATTCTTGGTTCAAGGTAGCAAAACTTCCTCATCAAATCATATGAATGCTGGTTACAAGGATAGTGTTATTGACCATCGTAACGAAATGATTAAATGGTGTAATGGTTATATCTATGCTGATGAATTAATTAGTGTACTCTGTAAATACTTTGAAGTTGTTACACCAGCTACTATTGACCGTTGGGAAAACGAATCACTTTATTGGATCAAAAATTATAAAGACCCAAGAGTATCGATCAAATCGTGCCAAATGTATAGATCAATTATTCAATGTCAACAACAATTAGTAAACAATAATCTTAATAGTAATAATCTTATTATGAAAACATTAAAAAGACAAAAGGTACGTTGGGCATCATCAGTTGAACATTTAGTTACTCTCTTACAAGAATGGACAGAAGATTTAGACAATTGTTTAATCAATCTCACCAAACTATCTAATCAAATTAACTATTGTGTCGGGGGTAGTTCTCAACAATTATTAATCAAATCATTTAATGAACAACAAAATTTAGCAATCTTCAAGCGTACACTTTGTGTGGAAATTCTTTTAACCTTGAAACAAATTATCCAATCTAAAAATATTGATGAAAATTCATTATCATTAATATTTTGGTCATCAGTATCATTAATTGTCCCAACTCAATTATTCTACAAACCATTATATGAAACTAGTTTGGAAATTATTTCACAAATTTCCAAAATGGATGATGATGACGATGACGACAATTTAGAAAAAGCCAATCAAGATATAATTAGAGTACCATTATTCGTAAAGCATATTTTAGAAAACTCCCAACATATTAATATTCCACGTGGTATTCAATATCATTTATTCAAAGGTTTATTATCACCATCAACCGAAGAAGTTTGCTCGCGACTATTAGTTTGTTTAGTTTCAGTTCAATCAGATTCCTTGGCCTCAGTTCAACAAATTGATCCAATGGGACCACCACAAAGATATTTATTACCAATTTTAGCCTTAGCTCCATGGTTACATAATCGTATTTTAACTAGTAAATCATCAATCATTTACCGTGAACAAAAGATTGCTGCTGATAAAATCGCTACTGCTCTTTCACAAGTACTTGTTAGTAGTGTTGGTAAAGGAGAACTTCCACAAAACCAAGAACTATCCGAAATATTTAGCTTGTACTCTAAGGGTGGGTTCAATTCTAATCCAGACAGCTTCTTAATTAAAGTTATCTCTTGTCTACGTAGCTTGGTAATCCCTAAATTCTCTATTGAATGCTCGGATTTAATGACCACTTTATTAGATTCTTCTAGTTCATTATCAAACTCAATCCTTAAAGTAATCAACCTATTATTAGAAGGTGCCTCTCCACAAGTTTTACCATTATTCAAAAATATAATTAAAATTGCTTGTGACTATGGCAGTTCATTACCAGTTGCTGCTGATTTAATTAACTCTGTTGTTTCAACAATGAAAAACTCAATACCTCAAAATAATTTACCACCTTTATTGCCACCAATTGATAAAACTAGTTCTGAAATTTTAAAACAAATTTTAGTACCAGTAAAACATCAACAACAATTGCAACAACAACAATTACAACAAGCTCAAAAACAAGCACAACAGCAACAAGCACAACAACAGAAACAAGCAGAACAAACCTCACCATTATCAATGTCTCAAGAACAAAATAAAAAGAAAGGTCATCGTAGAAATAAATCACCAATTTCAGATCATCCATCATTAAAAGAAAGAGCTATTAATGAAAAGAAGTCACAACCAGTTTCACCACCACAATTTTCAAATGTATTTAACCCACCAGCTTCAATTCAACAACAGCAAGAAGAAATTGTACAAGAAATTGAACAAGAAATTGAACAAGATGAATTGGATTTAGATGAATTTGACGAATTTGATGATGAAGAAATGAAAAACCTAATGGAAAATGACCCTACACTCACCAGATCAATGTCAAAGAGTATGTGGAGAAATTCGGATGAATATAATGCCTATTTGGATTTAGATGAAAATGACTTGGATTTAGAAGATTTGAAAGTTGGTTTAGAAGGTTTAGATTCTAATATTTTAAATAAATTTGGTAACTCTACATCTACAAGCAAAAGATCTTCACGTTCACTTAATCAATCCTCTGAAGAAAGCGAAGAATTACGTAACTCGTCCTCAAGATCCTCTAGATCACATTCAACTACTAGCAATACTGGTTTAAGTAAGAGTAGATCAAGATCTTCGTCATCTGCAAGCCAACCAAGAGATAGATCTTCATCCACTACATCACAAACACAACAACCATTAACCTCATCAACTAAACAGCCATCATTTAGTTTAATTACACCATCATCAAATAAAAACAGAACCTCTTCACAAAAACCCGGTATTCAAGAGCATACATTAGGTCAAGACTCAATAGAGTCATTAAGAGCATTATTAGGTACCTCCGATCTTACATCAAGCAAGAGAAATTCTGATTCAATTCAAATCGACCAACTTTTAAGCAATTTGAAAAACTTTGATCAAAATGACGAAACCTATGCTCAATTAGAATCAGAATTTGACGACTTATTAACTTCAGATTCACCCCAAGCATCATTTTTAAATTTGGTACCAAGTGGTAGTACCCATTCACCTTCATCAACAATATCTTCTACAGGTTTAGGTATCAAAGAAATATTAAATGATAGTAAGAAAAGAAGATCCTTTTTAGATTTCCTCAAGAAACAACACTTCCAAAAAGCAGTTAATGACGTATGTTTTGTTGAAGTTGTAAATGATTTCAAATCCGATATTGAAGGTAGTGGAAAAATTGGTGGTGATGGTTTACTTTATTTAATGAGACATATTGTTGAAGGTTTTGTGAACGAAAACTCCAAACATTCAATTTCTATCACCGAAAAGGTACGTCAAAAAGTTGTTCAAAGCTATCAAGAATTTATCTCTGATGGTAATAATATAGATCCCTCAATTTTTGATGAAGCCTTGGATATGGTTTTTAAAGCTTTAGAAGATAAATCAATATTAGATGCTTTTATTTCATCACAATACAATATAAATAATTAAATAAAATAAAATAAAATAAAATAAAATAAAATAAAATAAAATAAAATAAAATAATGTATAGTTATATTTAAAATTAAAATACTTTTTTCTTTCAAAAATATATTTATAATATTGTATGATTGTTGTTATTTTTTATTTTTTCAATTTTTTTATATTATAAAAAGAAAAAAATTTATATTTTTATTTATTTAAAAAAATTTTATTACTATTATTGTTTATTATTATTTACTTTTTAATTCTATTTTTATCATCTAAATCTACGATATCGTCAACGGCTTGGAAGAATTGGATTACATTAATGATTTGTTTACCAGCTGAAATTGGGAAGAAGAATAACCAAATAATATAGAAAACGGTTGATGATTGATAAAAGTGATAGAGATATGAGAAGAGGAAGAAACCTTCATTACCGAAACACATGAATGCTAAAAAGTATTTGTTTTCATAATAAATTTTCATGATCTTTAAGTGGTTTTGTTTGGTGGCCTTGTGAGATTTGCTTCCACTTTGTAAAGTTGCACAAAGACGAGCAAAATGACTGACGATATCTAATGTGATTAATGCAATGAAATAATTTTCATATGATTTATAGAAATGTGATAATACAATCATAAGGGCAATAGTTGAACATCTGTCAGTAATCATATCTAATAATGCACCAAATTGTGAACCTAAAAATATATTTTAAATATTTGGTGAGTTAGAATTAAATTTTCGATTTCTTTTTTTCTTTTTAAATGTTCAATATTAAAAGTTAAATTTGTAACATACATTGATTTAATAAACGGGCAGCGTGACCATCAGCCATATCTAATAATGCACTGATTGCGTAGAATACAAAGAATTTTGAATAATCGTCATGTGAATATTTGAATGCTAATATAGCGAAAATTACTCTAAAATAACCAATAATATTTGGTACATATGTATATACTTTAGAGACCATTGTGTTTTTAATAATTAATGTTTAGTATTACTGTGCTGCTTAGGTGTTTTTATATATTTTGTTTTTGTGTGTGATGGTGTGTTGTTTTTTGATTTCTTTTTTTTTTTATTTATATATATTTATGTGTCTATATATTCTTCTTTTAAAAATACAAAAATAGAATAAACAAAAAATAAATTAATTATATAATTATTATTTATATTTATATTTATATGATATGATGATTTAAATAATGATTATTTTTTTTTATTTTATTTTTTTTTAAAAAAATAAAAAAAATTAAAAATTTTTGAAAAAAAAAAAATTAAAAAAATTAAAAAAATGAAAATAAAAAAAAATAATATTTAAAATTATCTCTTGGGTTTTCTTTGAATATATTTAACTAAATAGAGGGATGGGAAATGAAAGAAAATTTAAATCTATTAAAATTTAATTTAACTTTTGTTTTAAAATTTTAAATAAATTAAACAATTATAAAAAAAAAAAATAAAAAAAAAATAAAAAATAAAAAAAAAAATAATATCTAAAGGTATATAAATACAGTAACTTTTAAAATGATGTTATATATTGTTATTCTTTGAAATATTTTATAAAAAAATAAAAAAAAAGAAAATAAAAAAGAAAATAACACACTAACTTTTTTTTGGAGAATACAAATAATTTTTTACTTTTCGTTTTGTGTCAAAAAAAAGAAATCAATTATTTGTTTTTATGTTTTATTTTCTATAAAAAAATAAAAAATAATTGTATTTGTTTAATAAACCCATTTATTGTTATTGCTTTTGTTTAGAGTACCATTAATTCCATGTTAATCAATAATCATCTTCAAAAATTGAACCCTTAAATTTCTTTGTTTATAAACATCTTGTGAATTCCGATTTTATGTGCTGAAAATGATTTGGTCCATCTGAACCTCCTTTATAATCTTGATATAGAATCACCCTGATTTACACCAAATAAAGGAAAAATTATAAATGTTTAAAATAGATACTTATAATAATTATTACCATGTTGTTGTCATTTATCCTCAGTTAATTGAGATGAAAAAAAACTATATTCAAAATGGGTGTAATTATTTTTTCAAAACCTAAATATCTTTTGGCTATAACTAATCAATTTTTTTTTTTGAAATATTTTAAAAAATAGATAATATTACATTGGTTACACTGATTTAAAGATTTTAATAAATAATTGGTTGTTTATAAAAAAATAAAAAACCCACCGCACAAAATTACACACTATTATCTATAAAAAGTCTATTGCACAAAAAAACAAATTATTTTATTTTATTTTATTTTATTTTATTTTATTTTATTTTATTTTATTTTTTTTTATTTCCCACTTTTACACCTTCTAATTAAAAAAAATAATCGATATTCACCACGTTGCCTATCATATTTTCAAAAGAAATTGTTGGTTGTGAAAACTTTTTTTATTATAATAATTTGGAAAAAAAAAAATTAAAAAATTAAAAAAAAAAAATTTTAAAAAAAATTAATTATTTTTATATTAAAAAAAAAAAATATAATTTTTTCAGTTATCTAACAACAAAACAAAACCCCATATAGATTATTTAATTTATTAAATTTTAAAATATTTTATTTGTATCAGATATAATTAAATTTATATTACATATACTATAAGAAAATGAAGAACTTTATGAAAAAAATGGATCAAGTTAAACAACAAACCATGGAAAAAATGGGAAATAAAGAATCACAAGCCGATAATGACGCCACAAAAGAACAAAAAGATAAATTAAGAGTAATCAAAACCGAATATAAAGAACTCTATACAGTTGGTAAAATCTATGCTCAAGAAACTGAAAGTAAATATTACCACTAACAACAATAATTAGATATTATTATTATTATTATTAATTAATAAAAATATTAATATATATTAATTTTTAAATATTTTTAGAATCAACACAACAAGGTTCACAATTTGCAGATGCATTAGCACAATTTGGATCAACCTTTTTATCAGATGAACAAGTTGGTGTTTGTTTAAAGAATGTTGGTGTTCAATTAAAATCAGTCGAACAATCACGTCAAAATTGTAATGTTAATTCAGTTCAATGTTTAGTTAATCCAATCGGTAAATTCCAAGATAGCGAAATTAAGAAAGCCAGAGATACTAAACACAAACAAGACCAAGTTCGTATTAGATATGATACTGCTTTAGATAGATTAAATGAAGCAAAGAAAAAGAATGAAGCCAACTCACTTAAAGTTAAAGGTCTTGAAAACGAATGCGAAGAAATTAAAGTTGAATATGATGCTGTTACTGCTGAATTTAATCAAGTCATGGAACAACTCAATATCGAAATGAACAAACAACTTGTTGCCCAACTTCGTGAATATACTCTTCAACAATTAGCCTTCTATAAACAAGCCTCTGCCTTATGGGCTGAAACTGCCGAACTCTTAGAAGACTTCCGTGGTTAAATAATAAATAAAAAAATAAAAAAACAATAATAATAACAACAATAATAAACTTTTTAAAAAATAAAAAAATAAAAATAACTACTTATTTATTTTAGAAAAAAAAAAAAAAATTACAAAAAGGGGTATTTATTTACAAAAGAATTAAATTCTATAAAATATTTGTTACATCATCTAGACAACTATAATACTACTACTACTACTATTTGTGGGCAGTTGTATTAGTGGTATCGTTAAAAAAAGTTGGACCACTATAATTATTTAAATTATTAAAATAATGATTTAGTTGTTGTAGATTTAGGATGGGTATTGAATAATAGAATGGGGCCACTGTGGGTTTACCAGATGACAGTAAAGCTTGAATAGATTGGATATTGGCACATTGTCTTTTGGCATCATTTGTAAGATGGTTGTAGTATTCACTGGTGCTATTATATGAGATATCTGGTTGTATATCTCTGTTAACATTATCATATGATACTAACTCTTGATATACTCTCTTTTTACTGATTTTTTTATTATTTTGTAGATGCTCGATTTCTTCTTCTTGTTTTACTACTTTTTTATTTAATGATACAAGCTCGATATCTTTATCTTCAACCAAATCTTTAAGATATTTAACTTTGTTTTGAAGATCATTAACCTTTCTTAATAACTGATTAATATTAATATTATTATTATTATTATTATTATTATTATTATTATTATTATTATTATTATTATTATTATTATTATTATTGATATTATTGGTATTGTTTCTATTATTTATAGATTGGTTACTTGTTGGACTATTACTACTACTGCCAGTACTGCTACTTAAGCTACTGCTTTGGAGTTTACGGACCAAAACTCTACGGCCATGGCTAGCTCTTCTTCCTTTTCTATTTAACTCGTTATTATTACTATTTCTATTATTACTTATATCATTTATATTAGAGTTGCTTGTGTTATTGATATTATCATTATTATTATTATTATTATTATTATCGGTTTGATTATTATTATTATCGTTAATATTAATATTATTTATATCTTCGATAATAAGATTGGAGGAACTTCCATTATTAATTTTATTAATGATCGAGGTTCTTGTGAGAAAAGTCCATATTTTTTTTTTTTTTTTTTTTTTTTTTTTTTTAAATTAA